TTTTWWKRAWWAAWTWMAAMMAAAAAAAAAAARARAAAAAAAAAGCTACTGATGGTTCAGTTACACAATTTCTTCTGGCAAGGCACCAAAGTTGTTCCAATTATTTCAAGTRTTCTTGAACAAGYCCAAGAGTAGCTGCTCTCAGATGTGAAGATGCCCTGCCCTGCTCACCCTGCACGTTRTACTGAGGTTGGGATTATTTCACACACATTTGGTTAAACCTGCTGAGTGTTCTCATTTCATTTTCTGATGAAATGTTTGTTGAACGAAGGCCTAGAGAAGAGTCCCCTGCCAAAACCACTGGACAGCCACTGACTGTGCTGCATATTCCAATTTATTTATTTCCACCACTTCCCAAACCAAGGTGTTTGCACTGCACAGCTCTGTCTCAGTGGAGACACAAACACACAACGCTGCTCTCACACCAGTGAAACCAGTGCTGGGTACAAAACAGCAACCAGCAGCACAGGCAGGCTGGGAAAATTMATCCAAACTGGAATCCCATGGAAATTCACTCATTTGGGCTCTGCACTGCAAAAGCCAACACTGTGTAATGGCAATAAAATAAATATTGCTTCCCTGTCATATCTCACTAAACGAGCAATCTAAATGCCAGGTTCATTTTCTAACCCAGTTTGTGCTTTGTTAAGGTCCTCTTTTCTATCATTTATTGAGAGTCTTCAGGTGTGGAAATCTCACAGTTACAAGCAATGTGACAAACCATCCTCAAAGCCAATGCTTGGATTTTCAGGATAAATTCAAACTCATGGATGATTCTGTTAATGGTAATAACAAATACAAACCAAAGTCAGCAAACCATCTTATAAAAAAAAAATTAAAAAATCCTTTCCCTACAGAATCATTCATCCTTCCCAAATTAATTTTCCCCAAACCAAACCAAGCTTSCAGCATTCCCAATGTCAAGAAGCTGGACAAGGAGAGTTTGAACACCAAATAACCTTAAAAAATGTGGGACAAACCTTCAAACCTACCTAAAAAACAAACCCTGAAGATAATGCACCTCTGACACCGTTCTTGCCCCAAATGTTTGCTCAAATAAAGAGGCCACATGAGGAAACAGCAAGAAAAAGAACACACAGAGTTGAGGATTTGTAACACAAACATTTCACAACCCTCCAGAGCAAAAACCACAGCTCTGAGGACACAGACATGACCAAGGCAATCTGGGCCAAAGGATTTCATGGAAAAAGCAATTTTCAGACAAATCTGGGTATTTTCCATGTGACCTCTTCTGCAGCAGCAGTTCGCAAATGCTTCAACCAAAATATTATAATTATGGTATTTTTTAATATTTATTATCTTAATTGTTATTGTTATCAGCAATAGCACAATCAATTTAACTTCCCACAAGTGCAGGCCCAACTGCAACTGGAGTTTGTACATCAATTAAACACAAAGAATTCAAAATCTGATCCCAATATCCAGGTAAATCAGCTTCTTTCCCATTTTAACCAAGATGGGGAAACTCCCAGAAAGGTGATGCCACAGGGAAGGAAAGCTAAAGGAAAAGCAGCAGATGGGAGAGGCAGAAAGGGGAGAAAAACTGAAAATATGGCAGAGGTATTTAGAMAAATCAGGCAATCAACAAAGCATGGAGCTAAAACTCAGAGGTTTCCCACAGAAAATGTATTTTTATATTTATTTTTGACTTGCAGATGATTTCCTACAGACAGCACWGGCTCCAATGGTCAGCTAAACCTCAACCAGGTCTTGCAAAAACAACTTGAAGCTGATAAAGAGCTCTGGGAACCATTTAATTACTGATCCAAGCAATTAAATAATGAGAATTATGTTGTAAAGCCTGAACGAGGAGCTSTGCAGACAGCAAATCCACCTCTGTGCTTGGCCAGATGTTGGAGTTTCAAACCTCACTGGGAATGATCCTCATGGAAGTCCACCACATGTAAAGAAATTTCTAAAGGACTTCCAAGCCCCATAATTTTGGAGGGTAAAGTGAAGTGGAATTCAGTAAAGTTTCCAGATTAAAAGCAAACATCTCTTTTTAATGAAAAATCAGGCCACACTGACAAGGRGGTGATAAATCTCATTTCTCCTCCTGCTCAGCCCTTGCTTGGAAGGTGTTTCTGCTGCCTGGTGATTCCTGCGTGGATTTTGTGATCAGAGAGCAGAAAGGTTTTCATCCTCAAAGGATTTTTGACCCTTTTTCCACACTGTGAACAGTCTGGATGTGCCATTTCCCACAGACACCTTTGTCTTGCAGGAATTGCACAGAGACCTTGAAATCCTTGCCCTTGGTGTCACCTGATGACAAAAATTACCTTTTTCCCTCTCCAATATTTTAAAAGCAGACTGAGAATTAAGTAATAAAAGTCAGTTTGTAATCAAGGTTTGCTTAAACAGAAAATGACTCTTGTATTGCAAAAATTGGAGCTTCTATCACACATTTCTACAACTGGGAAACCCAAAGAAGTTTCTGCAAATAKGCAGCACAACAGAAATGATTAAAGACAACCAACTGCCTGGATTTAGCCTACTCAAAACTCCTGTATTTAAAACCAAACCCAAACTGAACACGAACAAATCCAAATGGACTTTATTTCAYTAAAGCTCTGCTATCAAACAGCAGCATGTCAACCTGATTAAACTGGAACACAGAGCTCTTAGCATGTGATGGGCTGACCACCCTGTGATTCWGGTCACTTCAAAGGACAGAAAAAGGTCCCATGACCAGCTCGAGGAGAGTTATTGAGGGCAAGCAGTGTCTCAGTGCAAAAATCTGTCCTGGAGCTGGACA